TTGCGGAGGCCATTGCGTTCGACGCTCATCTGTCGCAAGGGCTTCTGCTTTCTGATCTCACTGCAACAGGCCATGTTCTCTACTGCAGAGGCGATTACACTCGACAGGCCTCTGCAGCCGCGTGTCCCCCCTCCCCCTTGCTACACGTCTCGCGAAAAGAATTCTGTGCTCCTGGGAGCGGGTGTGCCTCGCCGAGAGTCGTTTCTGGGGCGCTGCCGCCGTCCCCAGCGGATGTTCGTGAGCTTCAGTGTGGCACAGAAGAGGCACCCATAATTGTCGACCTACGATGAGAGGAGGGGGAGGAGGAGGGGGAGGAGGAGGAGGAGGAGGAGGAGGAGGAGGAGGAGGAGGGAGGAGGAGGAGGAGGAGGATAGGAGGGGGGAGGGGGAGGAGGAGGAAGGAAGGAGGAGGAGGAGGAGGCGGAGGAGGAGGAGGAGGAAGGAGGAGGAGGAGGCGAGGAGGAGGAGCCCAGGAGTGAGGAGAGAGGAGGAGAGGGGGAGGAGGAGGAGGAGGGAGGAGGAGGAGGAGGAGGAGGAGGAGGATGGAGGAGGAGGAGGAGGAGGAGGGAGGAGGATGGAGGAGAGGAGGAGGAGGTGGAGGAGGAGGAGGAGGAGGAGGAGGAGGAGGAGGGGAGAGGAGGAGGAGGAGGATGGAGGAGAGGATGGAGGAGGAGAGGAGGAGGAGGAGGAGGAGGAGGAGGAGGAGGAGGAGGAGGAGGAGGAGGAGGAGGAGGAGAGGAGGAGGAGGAAGGAGGAGGAGGAGGAGAGGAGCGAGGAGGAGGAGCGGAAGGAGGAGGAGGAGGAGGAGGAGGAGGAGGAGGAGGGGAGGAGGAGGGAGGAGGAGGGGGAGTAGGAGGAGAGGAGGAGGGGAGGAGGAGGAGGAGGAGGAGGAGGAAGGAGGGGGAGGGCGGGATAGGGGGAGGAGGAGGGGAGGGGGAGGGGGATGGGATTGAGCACGGGATTGTGCATGGAGGGGAGAGGGGTGGACAGCGGAGGGAGGCAGAGGAGGTGGGGAGGAGGGGGGACGGAGGAGGATGATCAGGACTAATTCTTGGCACTTCGCGTTTCCCCGTCAGCCCATCCAGAAACGATGCCCAGACAAGTTGTTTTGATCAGAGAACTGTAGGAGCAAGCAGTGGAACAACGAGGGGGGACAGCCGTCAAACCGAAGCTTGGGAGCAGCCAGATCAGACCCATGAATCAACCACGCATGCCGTTTCGAGTCTTTCGATATGGGAATTTCTTGACAGCTTACCTGGGCCCTATTTAAGCCCTCTTGGGGCCAGTCTGGAGACCATTGGGGCTCTGCTGGAGCCCTCTTCATGGGGAAGGTGTCTTCTTTTGATATGTTGGCCCGCCGCTGGGAATTCAAACACATAGGGGAAGTGGATGTCGTAGCCATTGTGGCTCGAACCTGCGTTTTTTGCCCGATTGCGCCATTGTTTCCGAGCGAACCTCAGTGGCGCCTGCGTCGTCGGAGCCGAAATGAAGTCGAACGTGGTAGTGGAAATTGCCATAGTGCACGCACTGGTCAGCACAGCACTGGAGGATCCTGCCGAGTCCCCTCATTAACGCAGCGTGTCTGGCACGGACTCGGATCTCCGCGAGGACACCCGACGCAATAGTGAACATTGCTTGATGTAGTTAAGTTCCGGAAGGGGGCGCAGCAGGAATCGAGTGAGATCGCGGGAGTTTTCGGACACGTGTCAGAAAACTGCCGAAACTTGAGCTGATAGCTGCAGGACTGCGGGATCCAGACACCGCGCGTCTGTGAGACACCTCCCATCGACAGCTGCACGTTGAGCCACATACCCGGGATGAATTCCGATGGAGGAGGAGGAGGAGGAGGAGGCGGAGGAGGAGGAGGAGGAGGAGGAGGAGGAGGTGGAGGAGAGGAGAGTGGAGGGAGGGCGGGGAGGAGGAGGAGAGGAGGAGGAGGAGGAGGAGGAGGAGGAGGAGGAGGAGGAGGGTGGTGGAGGAGGAGGAGGAGGAGGAGGAGGAGGAGGAGGAGGAGGAGGAGGGTGGAGGAGGAGGGAGGAGGAGGAGGAGGAGGAGGAGGAGGAGGAAGAGGGGGAGGAGGAGGAGGAGGAGCCCACCGCCCCGCTCGGGAGAGCCTGCGGCGCCCCGCCCGCCGGGCCCGCGCGGAGTCCTCGAGCGGGGGGTTTGCGCACTGGCGAAGCAGCACCGCCGCGCGGCCAGAGCGAAGTCGGGCCCGTCCCTCCGCAGGAGGGATATTCAAACATAGTCCAAACATATGGAGACTATTTTTGAGCTGAAAGAATCAAGCATAATCAACAGAGTCAAACGTAGTCAAACCTAGTCAACATATACAGGAGGAAATAACACGGGGACTATGTTTTGCCTATTGTGATACCGTGCTGGAGCACTTCTTATGTTTCGTATACTTTATTTTTCGTCGAAGATCCCCCTGCAGGGGGACAGGCCCGACTTCAGGCTAGAACAGGGCGTTGTCGCAACCAAGCGCGCAGACAGCATCGGCAGCCGAGCGCTCCCCTGCCGCACGGGGCTCTCTTGGGGCTCTCTGGGGGGGGGGGGGGGCACTCGGGGCCCGTCTGGAGCCGCCGACGCCGCCGCTCTGGGGGCGTTCCCTGGGTGCCCGTGGGCGCCCCTGGGCCAGCCTGGAGCCCTGGGCCCCTCGTGGGGCTCTGTTGGGGCTCCGTGGGGCTCTGCTTGTCGGAAGCTGGAACGTCTGCATTACCTGTGGCGGGCCGTTTTTCGATCCCAGGACTTTTTGTTGAGGGTCGGGGGCGACGTCGGGGTGGTGTGGTGTATATTTGTTTCCCCCGTTTTTCCGTGGGAGCAACGAAACATGTATACACCAGGATGCCGTATACACCGGAATCTGGTTTCTTGTGCGAATCCCAGTGCGGGACCGAAACAAGGCATCGGTGTATAGAGTTCGGTTCCCTAATTTGGAGCCATCTGGAGGCTTCAGCCGCCCGTCAAAAGCGAACATCTAAGAAGGCGGCCGTCTTTGAATCTCATAGTTGTTGGAAGGGTTTGGGCTCTCGAGGGCGTATGGGGAAAGCTCCTTAGCCACTTGGAGGCATACTGTGGCGAACTTTGGGCCGCGTCATGGAGGCATGATGTAGGCTACCGTGATCCATGTTGGACTATGTTTTGAAGGCAATCTTCGATCTGAAGCCATCGTGGATCCATATCGGCCCAAACGCATCCCACGGATGCCCCCCGACACGCCAACGCTTGTCAAACACATAATCATTTAGGGGTGCTCGGTGGCGCTCTCGGGGCCATCTTGGAGCCGTCGAGGGCCCCTGTTGGGGCTACGTTGGGCCATATTGAAGCCATGTTGAGGCTTCAAGCGTCCGTCGGAAGCGAAACGGCGAGAAGGCCGCATCCATTGTTTGCCAGTAAGTTTTGGATGTATGTTGGCCTCTTGAGGGCGTCCTTGTGAGGCACCGTGGCCACTTGGAGGAACATTGTGGCGGTCTTGGGGCCTCGTGGAGGTATGTTGAAGGCTATCGTGAACCATGTTTTACCATATCGTGCCATCTTGGACACCATCCTGAACGGGCTGAACTGAAGCCGCTTTGAAGCTATCTCAGCACATACGTAACCCACCAATGTCCCCGACATGCCAGCACCTGTCAACCGCCTGGCCCTCTAGGGGCGCTCTTGGGGCGATCCTGAGGCTGTCCTGGAGCCGCATTGGGCCCCTCTTGGCGCTCGAGTTGGCCACGTTGGAGCCATCTTGAGGCCTCACACGCCTGTCGGAAGCAGAGAGGCACCGCTACCACATGGAGCCGTTTTTGGGCGGTCTAGGGCTTCGTGGATGCATGTTGCAAGCTTGCGGGCTGCCATGCGCCATCTCGGGCTATATTGTTTGATATCCACTGCCCTCTCGAGCAATCCGAAACCATCTTGAGCTAATGCGGATCCTCTTGCAGCCCGCGAGGCGACGCGTCCAGACCCATGGGGCGGTGGTATGGTGCTGGGTCAAGCTACTCGCCCCCGCAGGACGGCCGTCCCGCTCACCCCTGGCCGCCCTCCGACCACATAAGTGGCACATCATGAGCCTCAGCACGGGCAGTGGCTGCCATCGACAATCATCGGGAACCGATGCAGGCGCCAGTCATGTGCGTAACGTCCGCGAGGTGCGCCTTGCGTGCCAGGGCACCCCCATCATCCCAGCAACCTGACAATGCAAAGTGATCGCGAGGCGCCCGCGCATGATCCAGTTTTCCACAACTCGTACGTCGTATTGGTTTTCGATTGGGGTGATGGGCCTGCGCGCAGCAGGCAATCTGCTGGCCCCCCTCATCCCTGCCATAAAACAGCAAACTGATCGCTCGGTGTCCGCGCATGATGAAGATGTTGCCGCAACGTGCGCGTTGCATCGTTTTTGACAGGGATGGTGTGTGTATGTGTGTGTGTGTGTGCCGTCATGGTTCCGTGGTTGCCCTCGGTCAGAGGGGTCAGGTGATGATATTTCAATAAGGGGCAGTGTTAAATTCCTCCTCGACTGGGAAGAAAGGCGTTTGGAACAACGAGTTCGCTAAATCCCCTGCGCAATAAAGGGCTGGTGGGATCACGCGTAGCCGTCGTGGGTCGTAGTCCTTTCTCAAGTTCGCCCCTTGGAAGCTGACTGGGACCTCCTCGTCGCTTCACATTCCCCCTTCCCCTCGCGTTCCCTCACGATCTATTTCCTTTTCGAGAGCACCCGCGAGGGGTCGGGAGGTCCGTCCTCGAATTGGGATTCGAGACATAACGCTCGGACGATTCCGATCTGGAGTCTGGCTCGCATCGTATGTGTGAAGCCACTACTCTGCAAGTGCGCCGTGTGTATATGTTAGTTTCTATCTTAGGTCGGCCTAGTTCGAGCTTTCTCTGGGCAGGTGCTTTTCGTTCATCACACGCCTGTCTGCGAATCGTGTCAGTGTTATTGAGAATTGCGTAGAACAACGTCGATGACAGCTTTGCCTTCAGCATCACTCCTTCTTTCAGCAACGCCCCCACGAGGTGGGGCTGCGCTCCGAGCTGGAAAGTTTCAGGAGGCTGTCGGCCACACGGATCGAGCAGCTCGAGCGGCAGCACCAGGAGGACCTTTTTCTCCCATTTTTCCGTCGTCCTCTCCGACGTTGCTTGGATGCCGTTCCTGCACGGCCCCGAATCTGGAGAGGGCCTTCGTGGGCCCTTGGCATTGGCCTGTGCTGTTGGCAGCCCTCTTCGTGTGGCGGCGCCCGGCAGGTGACGCGCAAGCGGACCTCTGAGGTCAGAGGGGCGGCCGAAGGTCCTCGATCCCTCGCTCCGAGGAGGACAAGGAGGGAGGAGGAGCAGGAGAAGGAGGAGGAGGAGGAGGAGGAGGAGGAGGAGGAGGAGGACGATGAAGGAGGAGGAGGAAAGAGGAGGAGGAGGAGGAGGAGGAGAGAGCAGAGGTGAAGGAGGATGAGGAAGGAGGGAGGAGGAGGACGATGAAAGGAGGAGGAGGAGGAGGAGGAGGAGGAGGAGGGAGGAGGAGGAGGGGGCCGTGGACGAGGCGCGCCTGCGCGCCGGCGGGGGCAGTGCTCTGCGTCCTGGGCGGGGAGGGCCACAGAAGGGCGGTGATTCCTGGCCACAACGCCCCAACCCAACTCCCCACCCACCCCACCCTCCTCCTCCTCCTCCTCCTCCTCCTCTCCTCCTCCTTCTCCTTCATCGTTCATCCTCCTCCTCCTCTCCTCCTCCTCCTCCTCCCCCCCCCTCCTCCCCCCCTCCCCTCCCCTCCTCCTTCTCCTCCTACCACTCCTCCTCCTCCTCTCCTCCTCCTCTCCTCCTCCTCCTCCTCCTCCTCCTCCTCCTCCTCCTCCTCCTCCTCCCCCTCCCCTCCCCTCCGTAGCCATTGCGGCTCAAGCCGGCACTTTTTCTGGCTTGCGGCTCAAGCGAGCCACGGCATGGTTTGATTGGCTTCATTTTTCTCGCACCTTGAGTGCGTTCTTCTTCGGCGTCCATGGACGAGGCGTCTGGCCATGTCTCTTCGCTGGCTGGTCGTGCGTTACGTCTCTTATCTTCTTCGACTGGTCGCCACTATTCGGGACTCAACATGGCCGCTTACGCAAATCGGCACAGTTTGCCGAACGCCCTGAGGCGTCGGCTCCAACATCTTTCGGTTACACACCAATTACTGCGTCACCACACAGACATTTGGGAGGAAGACTTCATGGCTGAACTTGACCAGGAGAGGTACTCTGGTCAGCGACCTCGCAAGTGTGGTTTGGATCGGATTGCACCAGAGTTTCAACCGCAGGCAGCACAACAACAGTGTGCGTACACGTCTGTTCCGGAGTTCTTGACTGCCACACAGGTGCTCTGCAATGCGCAGTTGGCCCCGCACGAGAATTTAGTCAATGATCAGAACGACTCGATCTCGGCGCTCCGTGGTGTCTTGGATGAAGTTGCAGCTGGTGCCCAACCTCCTCCTTCTGAATCCTCTTTCAGAGGCCTCTTCCACATCGGGATCGTCACATGCGGAGTCCGCGAGTATTCCTGCTGAGCGCACTGCGGTCCTCTGTGATATAGATACTGTTACCCTGGGGCAAACAATTCGCTTCGATCTTGGGGACAAGCCTGAAGACATTACTAACTTGATGGACTCCCAAATCCAGAGTGCATTGAGAGATCTCCTCCCTACTATGCCACACTCGATTGTAAGCGCTATTCCCGATACGATCTCTCAGGTTATGGCAGGTGCTCTTCCCGGCGCGCTTGAGAAAACGCTGGGGCCTCGACTCGACGAGCTGGATAAGCAGATTCCGGTGCTTTCTGAACGGGTCGACGCTGGCATGGGATCACTTCCAAATCATTCCAGCGTGAGGGACGCGGACCTCGGGGAGCAGACCGTTGAGTACATGCGTGAAGAGTTTGAGAATCGTTTTCAGACCTCGAGGCGCAGCTGGTACTGCTGGGACACAAGCTGGGCTCCGCCACTTCCGCGCCGCCCCGTTTGCAGTCGAGCAGTCCTGGGCACAGAGGCCGTGCCTCGAGGTCTACCCGCGGCGGTGTTACAAGGGTTATTATTTGTCGATGTGGTCGTGGTTGTCAAAGGCGTGATTGTTTCTTCTCTCATCCAGGTGGGCGGCTGATCGACGATGCCGCCTCTGCGCCTCTGACCCCGTCTCGCTCGCAGTCGCAGGCAGCCTGTTCTATTGGTTCGCCTCCGCGCATCGAGCCCGGAGCGAGACCGATCGACTGCTCCAAGTTTGACAAGTTGGACGTGGATCACATTGCACACGACCTCATGGAGGGCTTTCTGGCTGACATGTTTCGTTGCAGTTTGGAGGACGATGAGCTTCCGCCATTCCCGGGGTGGACTAGTTGTTGGTCGTCTACCTCTCCCTGTATTTCCTATTCAGCGAGGTTATTATTTGAGTGGCTTCCGCCTTCGCTCACTCCTCGCCGAACGGGGTGCGGATTTGCTCTGTGTTGTAATGCCACAAACCCCATTGGGTACGCTCCACCTCCTCCTCCCCTACCCTCTTCTCTCCTCTTCTTTCCTCTCCTCTCCTCTCCTCTCCTCTCCTCTCCTCTCCTCTCCTCTCCTCTCCTCTCCTCTCCTCTCCTCTCTCTTCGCTCCTCCTCTCTCCTCTCCTCTCCTCTCCTCTCCTCTCCTCTCCTCTCCTCTCCTCTCCTCTCCTCTCCTCTCCTCTCCTCTCCTCTCCTCTCCTCTCCTCTCCTCTCCTCTCCTCTCCTCTCCTCTCCTCTCCTCTCCTCTCCTCTCCTCTCCTCTCCTCTCCTCCTCCTCCTTCTCGTCCTCCTCCTCCTCGTCCTCCTCCTCCTTGTCCTCGTCCTCTCGCAGCGCTGCGGAAGAAATCCCTTGTCCGCGCCCGCGTCCCGGCGCCAGCGCTCGGGCGCCCGCCGCATCGGCCGCGGAGGCCTTCCGGCGCCGCAGGAGGACCTGGTTCCCGTTTCGGAAGAAGGGGGGGGGGGAGGAGGGGGCCGCCCGCCTAACCTTCCTGCGTCCCGAGGCCGATCGTAGAGGAAGGGGGGAGGGAATGGGTGGAGCGGTGGGGCCACTCAAGGGATGTTGTGGCGGTTGCGGACGACGTCGGTAGCGTTGAAGACGATGTAGCGTAGTTTCCTCCGGGTTTCCAAACATGTAGTTGTACGATGAGCGGTCCAGCGTAAGGTTGGCCGCTCTCACCATCATCATCCTGAGGTGCCACACGAAAAGCATGTGATAGTTCCTGGAGACCTCCTGCTGCCTTCCTCCCCCCCTCCCCCACCCCCCTCTGGCGACGGAGGACCTCTTGAGGATCGCCTCGCTCGAGCAGCAGCTCCACCAGGCGGAGCGGCACAACGGCGAGGACGCGGGGCAATTGGCGGCACCGCGCGGTGCAGAGGCACTCGGGGACCGCGGCTGGTCGGCCAGCCTTCAATCGCACGGGCACGGCGCTTTGGAGCAGACTTGTCGGTCGTTGGGTCGTCGCGTCGAGGGTGAGGCCGTCCCCCGCGGCCGCGGACAGAGCGCCGCATGGCTGTCGTTGTAGCGGTCATGCTCGTGCCAGTGCGTGGCAAGAGTCGTCGGGACACATCTTCAGCAGGGAGGTCGATGGATGAAAGCGAAAGTCATAGAGTAAGGGGGGCAGGGGGTGGAGGAGCACCAGAGCAAGCCCAGGATGCCTCAACGATAATGCAGTCTCCCGTCCCAAGGTCCCCTCCTACGAGTTCCCATCGGGAAGCGTCCCCCTTGGAAAGGCGAGCGCAAAGTGGGCCTGCCACTCGGGTGAGACCGGGCTCTTTGAAGGATCCACTCCCGATCTTCCGAGTTGACATAATCGCAGAGAGGTATGATTATGCGAGTTGAAGGAAGTGCCCAGCGATAATCTCGCTTTGGACAGATCTGTCCTCCACCCGTCTAGTGCCACGCAGATGACAGCTTCTTGTCGCAGAATCTGCAGAGGCCTAGGAGAAGCAGCTGCTGCAGGCTTTGGCATGTCGAGTCGTAGAACTTGAGGGCGGTCTCAAGCGAGACCAGCATTTGGAGCACGAGCCAGAAACTTCCAGAACGAATGCTCGCGGCGCCACGGCGAGCCGCGTTTCGCAGACCACCGCTGGGGGACTCCGACTGCGGACCCTGCGATCGGCGCCACCCCAACATACTTATACTACATGTGCGTCGCCCCCCCAGGGGCGACACGCACACCGAGAAATCTTATAGTCGGAGGTTGGGGGGTGAGATCGAAGTGGAACGTTGAGCCCCCCTACCGGGAAATCGATTTCGGTTTCGTGTTCGTGCGTGCCGTGCGGGCGAGGCGAAGCTGCGTGGGCGGGCGAGAGAAAGTCTCCTGTGGCTGAGGCGCGGCCGGACCCAATGATTCCCTTCCGGGCGGCCGGGGCCCCGCGGTGTCCCGCCGGTGTCCCGCTGGTGTCCCGTGTGGCTGAGGCGCGGCCGGACCAAATGATTCCCTTCCGGGCGGCCGGGGCCCCGCGGTGTCCCGCCGGTGTCCCGCGGTGTCCCGCGGTGGTGTCCCGCAGTGTCCCGCGGTGTCCCGCCGGTGTCCCGCGGTGTCCCGCGAGATGATGATGATGATGATGATGATGATGATGATGATGATGATGATGATGATGATGATGATGATGATGATGATGATGATGATGATGATGATGATGATGATGATGATGATGATGATGATGATGATGATGATGATGATGATGATGGTGTCCCGATGAAGATGATGATGTTGATGATGGTGTCGATGATGATGATAGTGTCCCGATGATGAGGATGATGATGCTCATGATGATTATGTTGATGATGATGACGATGATGGTGTCCCGATGATGATGATGATGATGATGATGATGATGATGATGATGATTCCGATGATGTTGGTGATGATGATGTTGATGGAACTGGTGTCCCGGCGATAATGATGTTGATGATGATGATGTTGATGATGATTATGGTGTCCCGATGACGATGCTGATGATGATGATGATGATGGTGATGATGATGATGGTGATGCTGATAGTGTCTCGATGATGATAACAATGATAATGACGATGTTGATGGTGATGTTGCTTATGATGATGATGGTGCCCCAATGATGATGATGTTGTTGTCGATGATGATGCGATGATCATGATGATGATGGTGTCCCGAGGATGATGACGATGGTGATGATAATGTTGATGATGATAACGATGGTGATCATGATGGTGTCCCGATTATGATGATGATTCTGATGATGCTGCTGATGATGATGACGATGACTGCGCCCCGATGATGGTGATGATGATGTTGATGATGAGATGATGATGGTGATGGTGATGA